AAAAAAAAGATTAGTAGTTTCCGGGTATTTTTCGGATTTTGTAGAGTGTAGCCGTAAGCGGCAGCTGAGATCGTCGCTCTAGAGTAACTTGAAAGGAAAGGTCAGCGATTTTTAGTTTCTCGGATTCTGTAGAGGGCAGCCATAGCTGTTTTGCACTTGCCGTCCCATAAGCACACAAACTTTCAGTGTCTTTCCAACGCTCGCAACGTCTACAACGATGTGTGTGTTTTGTCATAATTATCATAATGCATCATTCATGTGGAAAGTATGTTGACTGGATCAGCGATCAGCTACATTGACAGCAAAGTTGGCCGGCCTCATTATAAGGTAACAGCGTTTTAGGACTTCAAATCAATGATTGTCTACAGAGCATCAGGATGCAGTCGTAGTAGCTGACTTGTTACTGCAACCAGGGCATGACGTTAATTTGCCGGTAAATGCTGTGGTGCCGTTTCGTGTTCAGATTGAAAGCAGCATTGAAGGTGAGTTCACGACTCCAACTTTTTTTTGCAATACTAATCATCCCTTTTTTCTCTGTCAAGACAAAATCTCTTTGAACGTATATCTTCGACTTAGAGAGCAACTTCAGATGAATGTAATGGAGCCGATATTCACGAGGGCAAGGATGGGAGAAAAGTACGAGGCCAAAGATCGGAGAGTGAAGATGATAACAAATTGGATGGTGCAGCTGTTGTAATTAGTTATCAGTCTAGCTAATGAGGTTAACAGCCTACACGCGTAAAAGGGCCTTACTACACAAGAGAAGTTCAATTTGGGAATGTGCCGCCCACGATCAGATCGCCGATCTCGAAACAGTGAGTTGAAAGTATTTGTTAAAATTGACGCTTATCTGTCTTGATCTTCCAACAGATTTGCAGTCGCAGCCCAGGATTTTTGTGTGTGGCACTTAGCGGAGCATGCCGCTTGTAAATTTCACGATGTGCACTGCTTGGGCCACCTTAGAGAGATGTATCCATCAAGAAAATTGCTGGATTTCCAATCAAAGCAAAGCTGACTGATGCTTTTTTGGAGGTTTGAGAAAGAATCGAGAGAAAATCTCACAATATAGCACGTTTTTAGTAGCTTGGACTCCGAATCTAAGTGTAACCCTGAATCGCGATCTTACTCGAAGCATACTTGGTATCAGCGAGTATCCTGTCAGTAAGTGGCTTGAAATGATATCATATG